GATCAACTATCTTGAACAGATTCTATATCTGCCTGCCAATATGGTAGCCACCAGCCCACATGGCTACTGAGTACTTGAAATGTGGTCAGTGCAACCAAGAAATGGAGTCTTTAATTTTAGTCAAGTATTTATATAGCCACTTGTGGTTAGTGGTTACTGTATTGGACAGTCTAATTCTAGATGGATGAGCCTCTGAAGAGATAGACTTTGAGGAGGCTGAGTCAACTGTTTGCTGAACCTTAGTGGGTTGGGGACATTATCTCCAAGCTGTGTGGGAGCCAGGCCAGGGTCTGGGTATGGGTCAGCTGTGTAGCAGGGCTTTGGCAGACCCTCCAGGGTTGATTTCTGGTTTCTTTCTGGTTCTAAGTTGGGCTGAGAAAAGAGGAAAGCTTACGATTCTGGAAATACAGAATCCAGTAGATTTAGCCTCTCTGTCCCCCTTGTTCTATGCTGAATGGCCACTTAGAGCTCCCAGAAAGGCCAGGGGGGTATACACACCCTCATCCTTTGCTGTGCCAAGGGAAAGCAGACCTCAGCATCCACGCAAGCAGGGAGAAACGTCCTTCCTGTTTGGATGGTTGCTTTTGAATAAAGGATCCACATGGTCCAATGTAGCTTTTGAAGAGGTTAAATTAGCAAGCTAGCACTTGCTCACACATGTGTGTATATGACTGCACACACACACACACAAACACACACACACACACACGGAGTTTATGAAAATACTTTTGGAGAGCTGGGACAAGATGCCCCAGTCTGAAAAGGCTCAAAGCTTTGCTTCTGCTTTAATTGGGTTCAAAAAGATGACAAATAAAATCTGCCTCAGGTAGGCTCTTGAAACTCACACTGCAATTTATTTTAGGACCTTCCCCACATCACAGCACAAGGAGGTTTGCAGAACTGATGGTGGATTTTGCCTAGAGATTTTTTTTTTTTCCAATTGCCTTTCAACTCTAGCAGCAACAAATCATCCAAACCAATCAGTCTTTGTATGAAAGCTGAATGAGCAAGACTGCTCCCTGCCCACCTCACCAGTATCTCAATCCCCTGATATTTCTGATAAAGTTGGGACTCTGTCACAGGCAAATGTGCCGGTTTCCTTTAAAGGAAAGACTCTTTCTGGATCTTTCGATTAATTGACTGAGGTGGAGACCAGCGGCTCCACATGGGCGTTTTGACGTGGTGTGGGCAACATTAGTCTTCTGCTATTGCCATAATTTACAAGGCTCATATAACCATGTAACGACTTGGTGATTACATGGAAAATATCGTATAAATACGTAATAATTACAAGTTCATGCAGATTACTTGGTACATTCATTTGAAGTTACCGAGTAGTTCAAAGATTAATTATCCTGTAACTGGCAGCATTTAAATAATTTTTTTCTCCTATTCGAATACACTGAGGCGGACTTCAAGGCTGGCAAGGACGGGGATGTGATAAGTATGATCTGAAAAGAAAAAATGAAATTTGACAGGCATGGATTATTTAAAGCATGCATACGTGAGCTGAACAGCCAGGACACTTTGATGCAAATCGTAGGGGAAAGAGCAGGGGGATGGTGTGTAGAGAAAGGTGCTGAACAAAGTAAGGATTTCCTGCTGGGGACTTGAAATTTAAACAAATAATCATTTAAATGGCGGCCCGGCATTACGTTCCGAGTTGTGTGCATTAATGTCAACATCTGGTACCAACATTTTGACAATTCTATTAAAATGCCCCAGCATTCCCTATCTAACACCTGTTAGCTCTAATTTTCTTTCCTGAGAAGCACACCAGTAGACAGGGTAGATTCCAAATCATTTATCACTTTTAAAGTGCTTCCATATGCGTGTTGGACCCAGCCTGGCCCTAGGCAAACGTTTTCTGAATGCATTAAAATTCAGGACTATTTTTTTTTTAAAGTGTAGACACCAATGTTTCATTGAATTCATGTCTGGTAATTATTAGCTTAAATTATGGCTCACACATGACTTGACAAAGTAGACCATGAATTAAAACACGCGTGCACACACGTACACGCCCCAGAACTCTTCAATAGATGCGCCCAACTCCTACATTGCTTGTTATTGAGATGTCAGTCAGTAATCATTAGGCAAACACTCTTCATGGAGGGAACTGCTAAGAGGCCCAGGAGTCCCAAGAGACAATCTAAAAATGTCAAAAATGTTACGGTATAAATGAATGACACCAACAAGAGAACATGTGTTAGCGATGCAAGCAATTAGTTAATATATTACAAGTTTCAACCTCTGAGCAAAACAGGCAACACAGATTTCCTCTTGACAAAAGGCTACAGATAAGATCAGGTGGATTCCCAGACAATACAACCTCCCAGAATTGGAGCAACCCTCCAGCAGGCTGGGAGGGCAGGAAGGGGGTCTGAGGAGTCTGGGGTCTGTAGAATGTGAGTCACTAGGTAGGTCTCACTCTCCCTGAGAATGACTGGCTGGACTTCTAGGCTCTTTGCAGAGAAGTGGAGCCTGAAATGGAAGAGGACATCCGGTGTCCCCCGGATCTGGTTCACCACAAAGCTGCCTCCTCCTTGCTGGGGCTTCAGAATGCAAGTTAGAAGGTGGAATGAAATCGCATTGCTCTTTTCAAAGGCAAGGAGGTGCCTGCGCAAGGTGATGGGCATGGGGATATTGTATGGGCAAATACTTGATCACTGCTTTCCAGAGGAGATTTTAAAAACTAAATATTATATATTACACAGTTTCTATCTCCCCCCACTTTTTCTTCTCTCTCTCTTTCACACACACACACATAAAGACGTTTGAAACAGAAAAATCTTCTGACATTACACACAAACAGAAAATATGTTTTAGGCAAAATACACACGATTGATATGCACTTGGACTAAGGATTTGAATAGGTCACTTAGAAATACCAAGGAAACACTGAGAATGCAAGAAGGCAGGAAAACCTGAATTCACCAACTCAAAATGTAAAAAAATTTGTAGACAGTTAAAAATGTCTGTCCCTGTACACACGCACACCTACACTTTCACACTTCCTCTGTTTACTAAATAACATTTCAGCACAGTTTTCATCTTATAAGGAAAGTGTTTGAAACTTGGAATAAGTGCACTTAATTAAAGGAAGGCTGTGAAAATGTGCACTAATCTGATATGACTAATAGCAAAGTGCATGAAATTGCTAATTAGAATTTCATTAAAGGTGCTGCTTTATCAGCCTGTGAATATCACAACCTTTAAAATTCTTTCAGGAGAGCTTAATTCCTTTTCAAACAGAAATATTCTTTAAAGACATTTGATTTGTTCTGAAGGAATTCGTGGCTTAGGCTGGAACTTAAAATGTTGCCGATATTCCAGGAGGTGATATCAGAATAGGAATACAGATCAGGGACTTTGTTTCATTTGCCTGATGAATCCCTTTCTCCCCACCTCTATTATGGATTATCGTTCAAAAACCCAGTCCTGAAAACAGAGTTGAGTCCTGGGTTTATTCCACATGTAATTTGTTTTCTACTGAAGTCAACGTTTATACTCTCCTAAAAGAATAAAGGACAAATTACTTAAAAAAATTTAAGTCACTGAATATAAAATTAAACATTTTAATTTTCATACTCATGTAACAAAATAAAAAGTAGACAATAAGATATTTTTTCCTTAAAGGAAACAAATATTCATTTAAAACAAGTCAGCAGCCTTCACTTAAAAAAATTTTTTTTAAATAAATTACACTGTTTAAAGTTAGGAAAGTCCACTATTAACAATAGCAGATGTATTTTTATTCTTTTTCTGACTTGCTTTCCTAGGTTACGGGATTTTCTTACTCCACAGTTTAATTATTCCTGGTACTAAATCCACATTTCACCTTGCTTTTTGCTTTAAGATTTTAAAGTGCTGCCTTCTTTCTACTCCTTCATTTTCTCCATTTTCAACCTTATTTATAGATTTGTGGATATGAAATAGATCACTTCTATTTTCATATCCATAAAGCCTTATGACATATCGCTTTCCCTGAACACAGTTCCCAATGTTAACAATTGTATTTTTTAATTTGCAGTTTTCCCCCGTTGATGAAGTGTTCTCATGATTAGTAACTGGGTTCTTTTTAATATTCAAGTTTGATTGAACAGTTACATTTTGTTACTGAAAACCCATTAATGTTAATGGAAACTACAGCTCACTGAAAGCAGCAGTTTACTTTACAGAAGTTGTTAAAAACCTAGCCTGGCTTCAAATTTGCTGAACACATCAGTTAACAGTGATGTAATTTTGCTGAATTGAATATTTTAAATACACTTTAAAAACTTCGATTTAAAAGCTAATCAGTCATATTTACCTGACGACCATATCTGAAAGGAGAGAAAATGAGCACAGAAGTAACTTTGAGAACGAGTGTGATTTCTCTGGACACTTAAATCTCAAGTGGCTTAATTAGAGTTTGCCCTGATTTTTGCTTCAGCAAGAGGAATTTACATGGCATTTTAGATAATTTATCTACTGGACTAGGTAACAGACAAAAGATTACATTTTCCCTTCCAACATTTGGGAGGTACATTTTTAATGCAACGATTTTAAAAGATCGGTCTAGACTTAAATGAATGAAAATTAGGCTCGTTAACTGTAATGTCTGCAGCCAGAGGTGGGGTGTCAGTCTTGCCTATCTGTGGGCCACCGTCGTCAAACAAAGCTGCTAATTCCAATGTTTTAAGTTTCAAATTGAGAAATATTGTTCTAATATGGCAACAATGGGGCTGTTGTCCTTTCAAGCATTCTGCGATTGCGGCTTCCTTACGGCTCGTTTTATGCAAAACGAGTGGCAAGTAATTGTGATTTAATTCTTTTCAAGTAAATTACAGTGAGTGCGTGACACAAAGCCGCGGCGGACCTCGCTTCCTCTGTCAATAGTTGAATTAATGATGGCAGGAGTAAAAACACCAATTGTGCACCACAGCCCTCCCTCGGCCCCCACCCCTGCCAGGGGGAGACCTGCCAATCAGGCCGCGCCACCGTGAGACTGGGAATCCTCAAGTACCCGAGAATCGGGGGTGGAACGTTCCGGAGTCTCGGCGCTGGGGTCGCGGGGGCCCGAGGCAGCCGCAGCGGTCAGCGTATGCGTGCCACCGGCCGGGTGCCCGCCGCGCGGTCACTGTGGTCGCCAGGGGTTTATGGCGCTGGGCACGCGCTGCCGAGTGGAGGGCAGAAAGTGTTCCCCAGGGGGCTTGGTGGTCCTGGCACTCGGTCTGTGGGTTAGTTGGGCCACGCTGGCCTCCCCGAGACTCCCCAGAGGGTTTCCCGAGGCGGCGGCACGGCCCGGGCTAGAGGCAGAGGGGAGGCAGGGCTGCCAGTCGGGTTTGCGGGCAGCGAGGGATGGTTAGGCTCTGCGCTTCGGGGTCCGAGGGCCGGAGGCCGGAGCGCTAGTTCTCACCCAGAATCTGCGAAGTCCGGGTGGGGAGGAAGCCGCTGGGGGAGGCCCGAGGGGCAGGGCAGGAAGGCAGGGTCGCCTGAGAGGGCGGCAGGTTGCGACCCTAGGCTGCCTGCAACCTGCCTGAGTGCAGTAGGTGCTCAATAATCACTGCACAGGCCAGGAACGTTCAGTGTGATCTGATCACTTCCCATTGTACTTGAATGAAATCGTAACTTTTTTTCTGAGGCCCAGAGGTTCTCTGTCCTCTAGCTTTTGCTGGATTCTCAATGCCAGGGAGGGAATCCTGCCTGCCCTGTTTTCCCTGCGTAACTTTGGAGGGTGACTTGACCGCTATAGCCTCAGTTTTCACAGCACTGGGGGTTAATAGTGAAATCCTTCCTTCTAGGGTCCTTGCTAAGTCGCTTCAGTCGAATCTGAGCCTTAACCAACTTGTGGACTGTAGCCTGCCAGGCTCCTCTCTCCATGGGATTTTCCCAGGCAAGAATACTGGAGTGGGTTGCCATTTCCTCTTTCAGGGGACCTTCCCAAGCCAGGGATCAAACCCACGTCTCCTGTGGCTCCTGCAATGCAGGAGGATTCTTAACCCCTGTGTCACCAGGGAAGCTCTAGGTTCCATTATGAGCATTTAATAAGCTATGGGCGAAGGGCTTAGAATGGTGCCTGGAACAAAGTGAAGTGCCCAGAACGGTCAGCAGGGCTTACTTGACCTCAGCTTACTTGACCACCTTCCCTTTTCCTGGATCTCCATAACGGAGTCCCTGCCTCAGGGTCTTTGCACTTGCTGCCAGAGCTCTTGGTCTGCTCTGGTCATAGCTTCTGATTCAGGCCCCAGCTCTGAGAGCCCTTCATGACTCATCGCTGTCACAAAGTTCTTTGTTTCCTTCTAGTTGTTATCCTTATCTGAATGTTTTTCTCTGTTTGCTTAGCCATTATTGTCTGTTTCCTCCCCAAAATGTAAGTTGCATGAGAATGGGGACTGAGTTTGGCTTGTTTTCTGCAGGTCCCAGCACCTGCAGCAGAGGCACAGTAAATTCCTGGAGAATGGATGCTTTCTTCTTACTTGTACCTCAAAGTGGTCGAACTGCTTCACCTCTGAGTGCCCATTCCTGTCATTCAAGATAAAAAGTGAAATCATTGGCCTGGAAATCATGTTTTCAAAATTAAAAATAGTAAGTTTCTAAAGATTTTGAGGTTCTCAAAAAGGTGCTAGACAACTGGAGATTTTTCTCCATGTCACCATCTTTCTACCTTGACCAGTTTTGACCGTGAGGTTGAAGTGCTCCCTATGGCTCCCTGATCCTGCGAGGTGATAGAGGGACAGTGTGAATTTCCTCCCTAACCTGGGCCCAGGAATCGTGTAGACCTCCACCCCACAGCACAGCAATATCCACCTTCATGCTATCTGCCCTTTAGTGTCAGCCTGATGACCACCCCTCCCTCCCCACACTACATCATGTGGCCCTGGCCTTTTGTCCTCAAGCTCCCTTGACAGAGCTTTTCTGCTCCTTTGGCTGCCCTCTTTGGTATTCATCACAGATTCACACCTGCTTTTTCTCCTCCCAGGAACCAGTTGCCTTAGGCTGGCTCCTGCTGGGTTTGCCAGACCATCTGAAGGAGCCAGAGAGGCCAACAGAGGTCGGGTGGGGCTGCCTCAGCAGCTCTGCTCATGCTGGGGAGATGAGTCAACTGGCTCGGATCAACGGGTCACTGTGTTTCCTTGTCCTGGCTGGAGCCAGGGACAGAGTATTTCTGGAAGTCTGGCCAGGCTCCCCATCTCACACCATGTATTTACTCAGTGAGATCATCATAAACAATGAGTGTCTCTGACACGATGACCATCCTTGGTAGTCGACTCCTGGCCTAGGGTTCTATCTTTGGGAGAGAACTTGGAGAAGACCTCTGGCTATCGGGGGAACAGGAAGTATAAATACTCAACTCATTCACTGGTGCAAAACTAGTTTCTTAGCACCACTGGATTGGACAGAGTAATGGCTGCTGGGGACATAGATATGGTAATAGCTAACACTTGTTTAGCACTTCTCATGTGCCAGAAACTGTTCTAGGCACCTCATGTGTGTTACATCACTTAATAAAATACTCAAATCTTATTGAAATAGGTTCTATTATTATCCTCTTTTATTCAGGCGGGAACAGGCTCAGAGCAGACATAGAACTTGCCAAGGTTACCCAGCCAGGAAGTGATGGGTCTGAACTTGGAACCAGAGCCTGTGCTTCTAACCAGCACATTGCATTGCCCCTCTGTCAGTCTCCAAGATGGATAAGACGCAGCTTTGACCATCTAGGGACATAGGGCATCAGAAGCAAACAGAAGGTAGGTGGGAGGGTATGTTTTCCCACACAGGGAATCAGTACTGACTCGTAATGGTTCTTACTATACACCAGGCCCTGTTCTAATTGTTCTACATATATTATTAGCTCCTTAAACCTCACAGCACCCACAGCACCCTAGGAAATAGGAAGTGATGTCAAGGTCTTGGGGCAAGTGGGTGGCAGAGCTGGGATTGGAACCCACAAAGGGCCTCTCTCCAGGGCCCATACTCATAGCCCTGCCCTGGGTCAGACCTCTGCCCAGCAGTCGTGGTGTTCTGTGCTTGTACTCAGATGGTTAAGAGGATGCTGATCTTCTTTGGTGTCACCAGAGACACCCTGAACTTGGAGCCCAGAGATGCTCCTCACTAATGGAAACTCCAGGGGAGTCTCCATGACCTTGTCTGTGAAGTGGAGGTCATGAGGTCAGCTCTCCCCACCTCTCAGAGCTGCTTCCAGGAGTAATGAAAAGAATGGACAAGGAAGAGCCCTGTGAAGTATGAACTCTGATCTCAGAGTTCATGGTTCTGCATGGTTCTGCAGGCCTGGCCTGTGCTGGGTACCCTGGGAGGGGGCCAGGCGACTGACCTACTTTAAAGATCAGGATGTAGGGCCATGAAAAAGGAAGAGGTGATTATTTTAATTGTAAAATGGACAGCTGTAAACGAGGTATCTGGTTTGATGGTTAGAAACTTGTCTGCTACTTTTTTGTTTGTTCATTTCTAAGAGGGCTGTACTCCAAGACCCTCGGAGAGCTTCATGCCAGTCCAGGTGTTCAGTGCTTTCTGAGCCCCATCCCTGCAGTCCTGTGAGGTGAGACGACATTGTGTCCATTTTACAGGCAGAGAAACTGAGGGCTAATGAATGGAGGAGCTGGGCTCTGAACCAAATCCTGCTGACTGCGGTTCTGGCCTCTCTGCTCTGGAGGGTCCTGGCACAGACCTGGCACAAGGGAGCTTCCTCTCTTTGCTTCTGGACTTCTGGGTTTAGTTGCCCTTCTGTCTGAGGGTTCCCCTCTCTCGACCTTGGTACTTTTACGTTCTCACCCCTCCTCAGTCCTGGGGGTCCACCACCCACACACCTCTCTTGAGTGTCAGAGGGATGATCCCACTCTCCTCCACGCACTCACCCACCAGCTTGCTGCTTTCTTGTAAGAGCTTGAAGTCAACCCCTTGACATCGTGTCAACACCTCTGTCCGAGGGAAAGAGATGTCTCTCCATCCCCAGGAGCTTACCCTGTGTGAAGTGGTATTCAGCAGGACTGGGGAGGAGGGGGACAGGAGCCAGTACAGACCAGGCTGCCTTGGTTCCCCATCACATTCACTCCAGGCCTGCTTCTGGTCCTAGCAGCTGAATTTATTTTGGCTTAAATGACAGAGTGGTCAGAGATGGTAAAAATCTCCTTTTATCAGGTGGACTGGTGTGAGGTTGTGAAGGGGATATCAGCTGCTCTTGGGCTTTCAGTGTCTGCCTTACATGGGCTCTGCCATGGGGCTTCCAATTTTCAAGTGGCTGATGACTGTACTCGTGTGTCAGCCTGCTCCTGGGCCCATGAAACTGGCTTGGGCTCAGGGGATGGAGTCTGGGTTTCCCCAGTTACTAGCCATGGGGCCTTGGGCAAACTGCATGACTCCTCTTTGCTTTCATTTCCTTATGCATAAAGCTGGAATAATAGCTGAATGTAGCTCAGAGAATTACTGGGAGAAGTTAATTATTTGTTCCTGGAAAAGCATTTTAAATGATATCTGGTATAGAGTAAGCAGTCAATAAATGTTCAGTTCAGTTCAGTTCAGTCGCTCAGTTGTGTCCGACTCTTTGCGACCCCATGAATCGCAGCATGCCAGGCCTCCCTGTCCATCACTAACTCCCGGAGTTTACTCAAACTCATGCCCATCGAGTCGGTGATGCCATCCAGCCATCTCATCCTCTGTCGTCTCCTTCTCCTCCTGCCCCTAATCCCTCCCAGCATCAGGGTCTTTTCCAATGAGTCAACTCTTTGCATGAGGTGGCCAAAGTATTGGAGTTTCAGCTTCAGTGAAACTGAAACTGAAACTTCAGTCCTTCCAATGAACACCCAGGTTAGCTGACCCCAAAATACAAGCTCAAGATTACCTTCTCCACTCACATCTGCCTTCCCACTCAGAATACATAATATGCAAAAGCTATAAAATGGGATGCCTTTAAAACTCCATGTTGACAAGAGGCAGTCCTGATGTGTGTTTTGGGCCTCACCACTCCCTACTGTGTGATCCTTTGCAAGTGACTTCATCTTCTGAGTTCCGATTTTCTTCTCTATAAAATGGATATAAAATTAAAAAAAAATGTTGTTAGTGGTGAGAATTAAGTGAATAATGTACATAAAGCAAAGGGTACTAATCATTCTTCCTCATACCCTGTCCCATTTTTCCCCTTCTGTACAAGTTCTTTTGCAAGGCTATGAGATGTGTTCTCCAAACCAGTTTTTCTTCCCTCCTGGGTACACAGGAAGACTACATTTCCCAACCTCCTTTGTGGTTAGAGGCCTCATGTCTCTGAGTTCTGGCCAATGAAATCTGGGCAGCA